CCTCCGACTCAGACGACCCAACCTCACTAGATCAAGCACTTTTACATGGAGAAGCCTTTTCTAATTCTCTATCAAGGTGCTCAACAAGGCTATTTCCTAAAGAGTCACTACCATCACTACGTCTCGACCTGCCTAATGATTCTATGCTAGACATACTCGCAAGTCGCTATATATCTATATAACTAAAAGATCAACTACTCTCTTTCGAGTTGGCTGCACTATACGTTCTATCGCTAGAGCTAAACATAATGAAAATCCAAAAACAAGTGAAAAATAGGACAAACCTAGAAGATTCAGAGCAGGCAGATTGAACTCAATAATTCGAGAAGTGTGGAGAATGAGACATAACATCCAAGTTATTTATACTATAGTTCAAATGAATCTAAGCCATATACGTGTACAAAAGTCAACGGTTAAGATCAAACACTAGGCAAGAAGCCAAACGCAAAGAAGTTGTCAGATCCATTTTTCACCTTCCCAATGGCTATATTTTTCCAAATTCGAGACTTAATAAAGTCACCACGTGGTCAGGTCTCGCACGAGCGAGATTAACTTATCTACCAGGTCGACGGTACTACTACCTACTGGAGAGAGGGTCAATGTTGGGGGCATAAAATGATACTGCCACATGGAGGACACAAGATGGAAGATAACTCAATGGTTCGAGATGGTCGAACAGAGAGAGCAAGCGATCGACTACTTGGTTGGTCCCATATGCTCGTTCCACCCTAGGAATGTGTTGGGTGTGTTGCCTTAAACTCGTAGTTTGTAATTTTGTAAAAAACAAATTTATATTCAATAAAGTTATATTCAATCAATTTTTTGTTAAATTTATAGCATCGCATTGTCCAAATCCAATAAATTAAACATCCAAGGTTATTATCATGTAACTGGGACACTATATATACTGGGTATATATTTGATATATCCTCGATATACAAGTGGATAATATCCCGAGAATAACCTAAAGGGTTTATAGTATGTGGATAAGGCTGGGTACCTTATCCTCGCAACACTATGGATACGACCTGCTTTGTAAATGTTAGAAACGACTCGATCCAGATTGTTCGTGTGGAGACATGCGAGTGAGAGTATCCTATACAATGAGTTTGTATAAGATCGGATCGCGAAATAGCCAATCTATAGATGTAACGTCGTTGACTAATAGATTGTTATCTCATAGGATGACCAGGCAACACATTCTCAATCCTGAGTGAATTATGGACTCCTACCCGTGAGAGCTCGCTCTTTGATCTGTATAAGTGAGAGTGGCCTGAGTCGCCGACTCAATATTTCTACCATTTTGGGAACGAGATCAAGTGGCGAGTTGGGAACATAACTACACAAGATGGAATTCACTTATCTCCTACTTTAGGGAGTAGATGAGTGTTCCCTTTAGTGCTGACTCCGGGACTTGAACATGGGGTCCCATCCTCTCACTAGTCAGAGAGGTACTTCCGGTTATTGGTCGGACCATAACTGGGTTGTTCATTAGAGGATCAACGGTAATTAATGTACAAGATGTAACATAGGGGTAAAACGGTAATTTGACCCATATGTGGTTACGAACACTCGTGAACTATTGACTTGCCGTTAATGGTCGATATCCGTGGACACACAAATATTCTATAGTGAGAAGAGTTCAGTTGCGAGTTTCTAGGGGAGTAACCCGTAGTTAACGTATGTTGATTAAAGTGGTTAATGAGTTTAACCAATTAATCTCCCAGCGTTGGAGCTTCTGATCTATAGGTCCATTAGGTCCCCTTGCTAGCTCGTAAAGGGTAATTAAGAACATTAATTCTTGAAAGGAATTTGAATTGTTCAAATTTAATTAAAGGGAATTTGAGTTAACTGTGCATGACACAATTTAATATAATATATGATGATATATTATAAAACTATATATTATGAGAGAATAATATAAATTGGATTCATATTAAAACTATAGGTTAAAGTTGAGTGTGAATTAGATTCATATTAAATACTATAGGTTACGAGGGAAATGTATATTTGAATATGATTCAATTATTTATTGATTTTAATTTAATTAATTAATTCATTAAATATAATAAATACAATTGATTTTGTTAATTATGTTATATAATAACATAATTAATAAAATCTCACCACTTCTGAGCATTTTTGCTGGGAAGTGGTGAGGTGTCTAATCTTTGGTTTGTGCGTTCGTTATTTTTGTTCGTGCCGAATCAAGATCCGTGCTCGGGGAAAAATATTTGCCAACGGTCTACAAATACAAGCAACCTTCTTCCCCAGAGGCTTAACTTCTAATTTAATAGAAATGGTTATGTTTTAAAAATCGGTGTTGTTTCGTTTAAAAAATGAATTGAATCACAAGCAATCAATCGCTTCCGGTGGGGATTCGATCCCTTCAGAACAACCAACTATACTTAGCCAAATACTTGGCGTAGAGATACCATACCCAGCACGACCAGCACGAGCATCTTCGATCGGATGCATTGTCAGACACTCCAACATATATATAAAGGGGGCCCCACTGTACATCAAGTATCTGATTCTATCTCGGTCTTAATATCAAGGTCAATCTCCTTATTGGCTTGAGTGTCGAAGTGTTGGCTCCCTTATGTAGGTCCTTTCAATCTTCCACTCACTCCGTCGATTCATCTCGACCTAGTCGGTCGAGACCGTTCACTTTGTTGCACAAATAAAGTGAATTTTTCTTTTATCAAATATTATCATAAAAACAATGTAAAATTAATTAAAAATATATTACAACATAAAATTTAGGACTCGTCAAATTCACGGCAGTTGACAAGTGACATGGACCATAGCACAAAAAGGAAAAAAAAAAAACAACTATGAGTACTCAATCTTTGAGATGCTATCATAAAATTTAGGGTGTGGGATTTTTTTTCTCTTTTTCTCAATATTTTGTCCAAACTCGTGTGTATGCCGTGTTTTATTTCTTATTACATTATTAATAAAGATGGTGTTTTATCCGAGTAAAATTCAGTATAATGAGGGACAAGAGCGACATGTCGTACTTGGAATATACACGGACAAGAGACCTTACGCGTAGGGTTCCATCACTTTACGTTATGTCGACATTGCGTGGGTAGGGTTTTGGTTTGGTGGTCCCAAGCCTTACAAAAAATCTCTATGCGGACCTCCAAATTAATCCTCACCGTTCATTTGATCGTTCCTTGATTTAATCCCACCTAAATCCGCTTTTATGCACTCCACTTATGTGGACAAAATAATTTCGAATACTAGTACCATGCTATTTATATTTTATTTATTATTTCATTTTATAACTTCTAAATTACTTTAATATTTGTTCTAAAAAAAAACTTTAATATTGATATAAATGAACCTACTACACCATAGTTGAGCGAATTAAGTTATATGTATCCAATTATAAGATGGTTTAAATCTCCTCTCCACATATTGTACTAAAAAAATATATTGATATAAATGAGAATAAGTTGACCGATTTGAGCACTCAACTAATTTAAGATATATATCATAAACTAAAGAGATGAAAATTCAGATGTTTTAAAAATTATAATACTTGTTTTTGCACTCGCTAGTAGAAGTTTTTATTGACTTTTTGAAGTGGTTTATTTGTAGAGACAATTACATAAATAACATAAAATAAATATATATTTTCTTAGTACAACAAAGGTGAGAGCGTGAGAATTGAATCTCTCGAACCTTAAACAAAAGAGTTAGTACCTTCACCATCTTAAGCTATGTTCATGCAGCCATAACCTCTATTCGTGACCTAGCTCGTTTGAGAGCTAGATTTGTGTCGATTACTTGCCTCTTGTCCAGAACTTTAATTTCTTCAAATTAGCTTCAATTATTTCAAGAGTTCGTCGAGCTTCTTTGTCGATCAGACCTACTACAACAATTACAGATTCTTAAATAATCAACCTGTCTTGCCAAACAAAGTCTCATGAAATCTTCCCCTCCTATCTTCAATTACATCAAAATATACCTACATACATGCATGTAGCAGAGAGTTTAGAATTGGAACTTAAATGTAACATAAAACATATCAAATTTATGCTATATTTAAAAAAAATGAAAAAGTAAAATTAACAAAATAGCAACCACATCTAGCTTTTCCAAATATAGCACATTTTTTTAAGAAAAATGGAGGTCCAATTTTAAAATAACAACTTTATCGAAATGATATACATATGTAATATATCTGACTACTGATATATGTATTTGATATATATATTATATATTACCGATACGTGTGTCTGATATACTTACAATATGTATATGATCATATATACTGATATGAGTATCTGATATATTACTAATATAAATGAAAATTTGTGCTATATTTGAAAATTTTAACCAATTATCGCTGAGTTATGCTCGTTTTGCCTACGATTTCTCCCCCTTTATCTTATTAGTATTGTTCTATTTCGACTATATTTTAATAGATAACCGAAGTCAACTAAAATTTTTTGACCATTAAAAATAAATCAATGTCAAAATAAGTAGTAATTTATCTTAACTATCCAGTGTGTATGTTCTATTTCGGAACATGAATTTCAAATTTTACAGGACTAAACTTTTTTTCAAATATCTTTGCCTTGCATTATTTGGGTCCGTTATTCCATATTTAGTCATATCCATTTACACGTGTGTCCATATTTCACATAAATCAAAAAGTTTAATTAACAAGAATAATAAATGTAATTTTCTTGATTTGTCTTTGAATTAAACATCTTGAAAATTTAAATAAAATATTTAAAAAATTATTAGAACTTTCAACAAAAAAATAAAAGGAAAGAATATATATGAAAATAAATACTTATTTATTAAAATAATTTCTGTAAATTTCTCGTATTATTATGATTTTTCCAATTAGAGGGTGTCGACGATATGGATATTATTATTATTATTATTATTATTATTATTTTGAGATACAATAAATAGAATTGTGAATTATTTTGTCCAGCTATATCCACCGCCCAATCCCTCTATAAATACAACTCGCCTTCGCCACTCTCTTCCCAAAACGCCAGCTCATCCAATTTACAAATTGCATTTAGAATTAAATAGGAAACCGCCATGTCGGAGGAAAACAACCACCGCCGCCGCCACCTCTTCCACCGCCACGAGGAGGAGGAAGAAATTGTTCCCACTGAAACTGAAACTGCCCCATATTCCCAATCTGAATTCTCCAAAACTTCCAGTTACTCTTCTGACGCCTCTGCTAATTACACCACTCAAAACAAGGCCGCCGAGTCTGAAAACAAGGTTCCCGACTACGGTAGCAGCTATAGTGAGTCTGAAAAGAGGGCCACTGATTTTGGTGGTGGCTATAGTGAGTCCGAA